GAGGGCGCGTGCGGGCGGGGGAAGCCAGTGCTGGTGTGCTCCAGCACCGAGGGGAGCTGGTCGTACTCCCAGCAGAGGCGGCAGAGGGTGTGCTCTGGGGAGGGGCCGCCCAAGACGGACCTCATGGCCTTCAGCCCCAGCCTCCCTCAGGGTCCCAGCTCTGCAGACAATGTGAGTCTCAAATATTTTATTCATGGATATTTTCGTCATTTTTTTCATATTTAATGTTTAATATTTCTCTCAACCTTTTTTTATTTTAAATTAGCGGTCTCATTCATAAATTCATGCACCCGTGGGTCCCTCAGCCTGGCCCGCGATTGGGGTTGATGGGGCGGCCAGTACGGGGAAGTTGGCTGGCCAGGGAGGTTGGCTGTGGGAGCACACTGACCACCAGGGGGGCAGCTCCCGCATTGAGCATCTGCCCCCTGGTGGTCAGTGCACATTGTAGCTACCAGCGGTGGTCCGTGGTCCAGTCGTAATGGTTGCTTAGGCTTTTATATATATAGATTATGGCTTTGTACTTACCATTCTTTTAGGTGTAAGTTATCTGTTGGTACTATCTCATTAACTTAAAATCGCCTTAGCTGATTTGGCTCAGTGGATGGAGCGTGGGCCTGCACACTGAAGGGTCCCAGGTTTGATTCTGGTCAAGGGCACATGCCCAGTAGGGGGCGTGCAGGAGGCAGCCAATCAATGATTCTCTCTCATCATTGATGTTTCTATCATTCTCTCCCTTCCTCTCTGAAATCAATAAAAATATATTTTAAAATATGCTTATATTTAAAATTAATTTTGGTTTGTTGGAGAGAATTGCTTTGTATTATAGAGTTTATTTCAGTAATATTCCCCCTCTTTATAAGGTTTTTATGGTTGTAGTTAATGGATTAATTTTTTCCATGATAGAAAGTGTTTCTGGAATTAAGTTTTTATAAATATTTTAATTTTCAATCTTAGGAAATGTAGGAAAATGCTTGTAAGACATATATTTGGAGTTATTATTTGTTCTCAAAGCCTGATACTCTGGTACGTCAAAATGTTTTTACGTCATTGAATTAGTTTTCCTTTTGTTCTCCGTTGAATATCAATTATTTCAGTATTTCTGTTACACCAATTTAATTTATGTTTTTCAGTAATATTTGAGTACTGAATAATTCTTTTCAAGTTTATCTAAACAGTTAGGCTAGCATGCTCATGATGAATTTATAGATTAATATTTTTAGCTTGAATGGTTTCATTTTATTCATTCTTTAATAGGAAATACATTTACATGGTTTAAAATGTTTCCCTCCCATCTCCAATATCAAGCCACTTAATACATCTTTTGAGTATTTCAGATATTGCAATACCTTGGTTATCTTTCTGGAGATGTTTTCTTTATATACAAATAAACTGCCCTCTCCCATCTTATTCCATAGTATTCATTTTGCTTTTCCTCTTGTTTTCTTCAATCAATATATCTTCAATCAATAAGTAACGACATATTGTTACTTAAGGGGATGTCTCATATTTCTTCCCAGATCTATCGTGTCCCATTTTGTAGATATATTATTATTTTTCCCCATTAACACCAACATTTAGTGGAACAATGATTAGCTTTTGCCTAACTTGCACTTTTACAATTTATTAAATTATGTTGGTGAGATGACATTGTGAAATCTCATAGTAAGGAAAATCTGAACATTTCTAAATTAAAATTTTGGTACTGCCCTGGCCGGTGTGGCTTAGTTGGTTGGGCATCATCCTATGCACCAAGTGCACCAAAATGTATAGGGCTGGATCCCAGGTAGGGTGTATGCAGAAGGCAGCAGATGGATGTTTCTCTCTCACATTGATGTTTCTTTCTGTCTCCCTCTCCCTTCCTCTCTCTCTAAAAATCAATGAAAAATTTGAAACATTTTGTACTTATGGTTGCTTTTATGTTTTCTGATTAAAAAAATAACTGTACCATGATACAAACTTCCCTCTTGAGTTGGTTGCTTACCAATACAGTGATGTATAACAAAGCTGTACATTTGAATCTACCATAGGCAAAGGTACTCTCCATCTCAAATATAGACAATTGTTTTTCTACAATTGTTGAAAAAAACACACAACAATGTGGGTTTAGCAGGTAGTTAATATTTCACATTTTGTATTATAAAATGTCAATTCCCATTTTTATTGCTTTGCCTATTTCTTGCATTCTCACATATATTTAACTTTATAAATACACTAGCATCATACTATTCAAATATTTTGAATATCCCATTACTTTGGGGGAAATCCTAGAAATTGAGAAGGGAGTTCTCACCAATTAGTTAGCAGTTGGCAGATTTTAAAAAAATCAAGTTAATTTAGTTTTAAAATAGAAATTTTTTGATTTATGTGATAACTGAAATCTTTCTTTGGGAGAGGAAGTTATTCATAGATTGACTAAGCCTTTTTTTTCTATACATAATCTTCTCCCTTAACTAGAATGAATTATTTTTAAAATAGATTTTATTGATTTCAGAGAGGAAAGGAGAGAGAGGATGATAGAAACATCAATGATGAAAGAGAATCATTGGTTTCCTGCCTCCTGCACACCCCCTACTGGGGATGGAGCCCGTAACCCCACCCCAACTGGAATGAACTTCCTGGTTCACAGGTCCACGCTCAAACACTGAGCACTGAGCCACACCAGCCCCGCTAGAATGAATTACGTATTTTTAGAAATAACTGAATCCATATTTAAGCTGTTTCTCATGAGAGGATCGTTTTCCTTTTCCATGTTAACTTATTTTACATAAATGATTTTAGAAACGTTGTATAATTTTCTACTAAAGCCAATAAAGAGAATTATTAAAATTATTATACTTAATAGAATTATAAGCTTTCTGGAAGTTGCTAGGAACTGTAATAGAAAGAGGTTTGATACTTAATTTTAATTAACAAATTAGAAAGTTGAAATTTGAAGAGACTTCATTTAAGGCAAAATTTATGAAACACCTTAACCACTATTGAAACATTTTAATAACAAGACTGCAGTTCAATATATCTTTTGTCAAGTCTTAATCTTCCTGCAAGCAAAGGACGCTTTTCTTTTGGGGTTATTACTGGGTAGCAAATGAACTATTTGTTTATTCAAAATAACTGCAATAGAAACTTAGTGATAAGAGCTACTACATCGATCTAGGTTATAATTTTAAGGTGTAACTTATTGGGGGGAGCTTTGATTACAGTTGTCTTGATGATTTCACAAGTATATCAGAATTTTAACAGAAGGTGTATGTTGGCATGTGTCCATTTGAGAAGTCTCTCTTTGTGACTCTGATTTCTCCTTTTGAGAAAGAGTTTAATCACTTCCAGTTGATGACATTAAGAATGGATTCATGGTGAAATTGAAAGTTGGGCTTTACTTTGATGTGAAGCTAACATTTTCACAGGTAAAGATGGAGGCATTTCATAGAAACAGCTTGAACAAATAATGTATTGAAGAAGAAAACAAGTGATCTATATTGTATGTAAAATAGAATTCACATTGGGGAGTAGTTGAAAATAACAATGGAAAAGTTACCTTGTGATCACATATCAGGTCATGTAGAAGTGATTCTAATTTCTCGGAATTTTTTAATTTAGTGCAATTCAATAAAAACTGTAATCATGAAGATAAATGTGATGGTATGTGAAAAGAAAAATGGACTCTAGGCAGACTTTGAATAGGGCAGGTAAGGAAGAAGATGTAATAAAAGGTATCATATTGGTGATACGGAGAATGTTCATGCCATTAAAAGAAAATGAAAATTTCAAGGGTTGAATTTGGGAGTTAGTAAGGATTTCTCTTCATATTCCTCAAATTGTAATTAAATTATTTTCCAAACCTATTTCCATTGCAGTTCCTAGCAATTTTCAGCATCTATGGGTGAAAATGACAATTATAACCATAGAAATGAGAAAGATGTAGGTTTGAGAATATCTTAAATAAAACTCTTAATTGAAACATTGCAAGTGGATGGGAACACTGAAATAAAAGCATATAAAAGGCTGAGGTTGAGAGAAAAATATGAGGCCATTTAGGGGCGACTGAAGGATCACAGCATCAGCAAACAATGGGTAGAAATTTCACTAGAATTAGTGATGATGGGGAAGTATGTGAAGGAAAATGTTTTAAGAGAAATTTATAAATGCAAAGAATATAAATATACACTAAAATCTTTATCTTCCGTTATTAAGTAAAAGAGCCATCCACAGGAGTATTTGATATTCGTTGAACAAAAAAAATAGTGGACTTCAATAATCTATAAGGTTTTAAAATTTTGGATAAAATTTGTTCATTTAAAATTACATTCTTTTCTCAGAGCAAAATATAACAGCATGTCTGATGACTGCAATATAGGCAAATGTTTTTTATGTACATAAAAAGTGTAGGATAATTTGCACTTCTAATTCCCAAACCGCGTTCGAATCACACTTAAATTTTCTTAATCGACTGATATATAAATTATTGGAAGGAAAGTCATTTCACTATGAAAAAGTTGATCCTTTACCCTACTCTAAATTATCAAAGAAGTCAGACAAGATGAAACCAACTCTGCAAATGACAAACATGAGGAAATTTACTATTAAAGTAAGGCAAAAGAAGACTTTTTAAAAAAAATTTAAAGAACTAGACTACTAGAGCATAGCGCAGTTATGTGAATTCATTTCTTACTTACCCCTTGGAGCCGCATGATGTCGCTGTCTACCAAGAAGTTACATCTAGCTCGTGTTCAAACACAATCCTCCTATTACTGCATCCTTCCACGAGTGCTGAATGATGGCAGTCGCAGAAGATTTGCATTAAGAGACTTGGATCATACAGTATTTCATCTCAATGCCGAGAGATCTTCTGTTGGAAATAAAACAAGTATTTGACATGGTTATTACCCTGGAAGGCCGACTGGGATCTCGGCGTCTGCTGCTCTCGCTTCTGTTCCTGGCAGCCTGGGAGGCTGGGAGCGGCCAGGTCCACTACTCGGTCCCGGAGGAGGCCAAGCACGGCACCTTCGTGGGCCGCTTTTGTTTGTGAATTCTCGGATCGACCGCGAGGAGCTGTGCGGGCGGAGGGCGGAGTGCAGCATCCACCTGGAGGTGGTGGTGGAGCGGCCGCTGCAGGGGTTCCACGTGGAGGGGGAGGTGAAGGACATTAACGACAACCCGCCGGTGTTCCCGGTGAAGGAACAAAGAGTGCTCATTTACGAATCCAGGCTGCCAGATTCTCTGTTTCCACTAGAGGGCGCGTCGGATGAGGATGTTGGTGTAAATTCCATTTTAACCTACAAACTCAGTTCCAGTGAATATTTCACGCTAGATGTGAAAACAAACAGTGATGATAATACACAAATTGGGCTCGTGTTAAGGAAGTCTTTGGACCGAGAGGAAACTCCTGAACATAATTTATTGCTCATGGCCACTGACAGAGGCAAACCCGAGCTCACCGGCAGCGTCCAGGTGCTGGTCACTGTGATGGACGTGAATGACAATGCTCCCCGCTTCCAACAGTCTGAATATGAAGTGAGAATATTCGAAAACTCAGACAACGGAACAACAGTTATCAGACTGAATGCTTCTGATCCCGACGAAGGAACTAATCAGGAGGTTTCTTACTCTTTTAATAGCTTTGTTCCACCCATGGTTATGGACCAGTTTAGCATAGATTCTAATAGTGGAGAAATAAAAATTCGAAATAATTTGGACTTTGAAAAAGTGAAATCCTATAAAATCCGCATTGACGCCACGGACAGAGGCCACCCACCGATGGCGGGTCATTGTACAGTTTTGGTAAAAGTCTTAGATGTTAATGATAACGTCCCACAGATTTCGGTGACTTCATTTTCCTTTCCAGTCAGGGAAGACGCTCCACTCGGTAGTGTGATTGCCTTAATCAGTGTGTCCGACTTGGATTCCGGTGTCAACGGGCATGTAACCTGCACCTTGTCACCCCATGCCCCCTTCAAGCTGGTGTCCACCTTCAAGAATTACTATTCGCTGGTGCTGGACAGCGCCCTGGACCGCGAGAAGGTGTCACACTACGAGTTGGTGGTGACAGCGCGGGATGGGGGCTCGCCTTCGCTGTCGTCCACAGCCAGCGTGTCCGTGGAGGTGGCCGACGTGAACGACAACGCGCCGCTGTTCGCGCAGCCCGAGCACACGGTGTTCGTGAAGGAGAACAACCCGCCCGGCGGCCACATCTTCACGGTGTCGGCGCGGGACGCGGACGCGCAGGAGAACGCGCGGGTGTCCTACTCGCTGGTGGAGCGGCGGGTGGGCGAGCGCGCGCTGTCGAGCTACGTGTCGGTGCACGCGGAGAGCGGCCAGGTGTCCGCGCTGCAGCCGCTGGACCGCGAGGAGCTGGAGCTGCTGCAGTTCCAGGTGAGCGCGCGCGACGCGGGCGAGCCTCCTCTGGGCAGCACCGTGACGCTGCAGGTGTTCGTGCTGGACGAGAACGACCACGCGCCCGCGCTGCTGCCTCCGGCCCCGGGCGGCCCGGGGGGA